GCTCTTCGGTGCCGGGCACCCAGGAACAACTCACTGCTGGCTTCCAGCTTGTCCCTTGTCTCCTCCCCACTGGTCCAAGGCTCAGGCGCCTCCTGGTGACCAACCAGCCTCTCTGCACCCTGTTCGGAGTCGGAACCCTGTCCAGGGTCCTCCACATCCTCCAGAGCCAACTCATAGGGCTCCTCGCTGTCGGAATCTGGTGGCAGCTCCAATGGCTCCTGCTGGGCCACAACAGGTTCTGATGGGGCAGTGGGAGGGGAGATGGAAGGATTGCATTTCTTTGAGGTCACTTATTGTTAATACTCACTCTGAGAGCTCTTGGGGATTTATCTTCTTATCTATTTATTTGGATTTGATGTTGTCTGTTGCGGCATGCGCTTGTGAAGTGGTTGTTTTGTTTCACCAATGTACAAATCTGCATATGTCTCCCTGCATTGTATTACATATATCACATTGCTCATTTTATGTCTGGGTGTTTTACCCTTGGTGTGGACAAGCTGCTGACTTGTGTAGTCTTGGGTTTAAAGTGTACATGTATTTGTGTTGGTTGGAAATCCTACTGAGCTTTTCAAATATTCCTGCAACATATATGAAATGACAGCGTTGCTACATTTGTTGTTCTCTTGTCTCTAATGGAGGAGCTTCTTCTGGGTCTTTTTATTTGATGAAGACACAGTTAGGATAATCACAAGTTCTGACAGATTCCTTGACATATTTTAGTACTTTTTCTTTTCCCTCTTTGGTAAGTCAAGTCATGTAGCGTTCTGATCACTCCCATTTTGTGCTCCAGTGGGTGATGAGAATCAAAATATAAATACTGATCTTTCCAGGAAAACCAGACTGTTTTCCTTAATATCTTCCCTTGTGAACTTAATTCATCTGTCCTCAGAGTTGATGTGTTTGGTAAAGGCCAGGGACAGGATGTGTTGCTAGTTCTTCTTGTTTGGTTATACAGATACAGCCTGTTATGTTCAAATCTGAAACATTTTGTTTTACATAAATGAGGAGTTATGTTGATTTTTTTAGTGAATTTGACTTTTGGAAAGATGGCAAATAAGCAAAGACAACCAGCTGCTTTGAAATCCTAAGCCCAGGATATTGGTCCACCATTTTCAATATATGCAGTGTTGGAAATTGAAAACAAATTCCAGGATTACTATTTACAATATTACTTTTTAAAACTATCATGTAGAGCAGTGTTTCTCAACCTTGGCGACTTTAAGTTCCGTGGACTTCAACTCCCAGAATCCCACAGCCAGCTATGCTGGCTGGGGGATTCTGGGAGTTGAAGTCCACGGGACTTAAAGTCGCCAAGGTTGAGAAACACTGATGTAGAGCATTAGAAATAATATATTTTGAAAATGCATTCAATTTGGCAAACCATGTAGCCTTTGGAAATCTGCTATTTTTCTCTTACACTGACTTCAACCCAGACATGCCCCTCCCCCCCCCAATGAACACAGAAATAAATAGAATCCCCAGCAAATTTAGTTTTAGCTCTTATCAGTCTGATTTAACTTTACAGAAAACTATCTTATCTATTATATGCTGCTATCCGCAAAGGCAGAGCAGGTAAAAATGAACCCTTTTCACTAATGTATATCCAAGCGATTTTTCTTGGCCTGTGCCATGATTATTTCCAAGTAGCAACATTTCCAGAAATGTATTAATATTTAGAATTCAAATAAAAATTAAATATAGTTCCTTCCAGATTATAGCTTTGAGAGATAATCATTTCTTATAAGAATTATAGGGATTATACACAAGATTAATAATCATTAAAAAAAAATCTATTTAGAGTTTACAGGATTAATAGTGAAAGTTGATCTGAAGAAAATCCTTGGAAGTATGCCGTATTTTTCAGAGTATAAGATGCACCGGAGTATAAGACGCACCCAGGTTTTGAACAGGCAATTTTTTTTAAAAAAAAGTAGGTAGGTAGATAGAAGGATAGAGAGGGAGAGAAAGAGAGAGAAATACAGTAGGTAGGTAGGAGAAGAAAGAGAGT